ACCCCGGCCCTTTTCATGGGAATTACCCTGGGCCTTTTAATGGGAAATATGGGAATTACCCTGGCCCTTTTAATGGGAATGACCCCGGCCCTTTTCATGGGAATTACCCTGGCCCTTTTCATGGAAATAATGGGAATTATCCCATCCATTTTAAAGGGAATAATGGGAATTACCCTGGCCCTTTTCATGGGAATTACCCCAGGCCTTTTCAATGGAATTATGGGAATTACCCTGGGCCTTTTCATGGGAATAATGGGAATTATCCCATCCATTTTAAAGGGAATAATGGGAATTACCCCGGCCCTTTTCATGGGAATTACCCTGGGCCTTTTCATGGGAAATATGGGAATTACCCTGGGCCTTTTCGTGGGAATAATGGGAATTACCCTGGGCCTTTTCATGGGAATAATGGGAATTATCCCATCCATTTTAAAGGGAATAATGGGAATTACCCCGGCCCTTTTCATGGGAATTACCCTGGGCCTTTTAATGGGAAATATGGGAATTACCCTGGCCCTTTTAATGGGAATGACCCCGGCCCTTTTCATGGGAATTACCCTGGCCCTTTTCATGGAAATAATGGGAATTATCCCATCCATTTTAAAGGGAATAATGGGAATTACCCTGGCCCTTTTCATGGGAATTACCCCAGGCCTTTTCAATGGAATTATGGGAATTACCCTGGGCCTTTTCATGGGAATTATGGGAATTACCCTGGCCCTTTTCATGGGAATTACCCTGGGGCTGTTAATGGCAGTAGTGGGAATTACCCCGACCCTTTTCATGGGAATAATGGGAATTACCCCATCCCTTTTAATGGCAATTACCCTAACCCATTATGTTTATAATGGCAATAACCCAGTCCCTTTTAATGGGAATAACCCCGTCCCTTTTAAAGAGAATAACCCCATATTAATTACAAATTAATTTAAAATCCACATTAATGGATTTTAAATTCCACTTCCAATAGTTTCCTATTAATTTCAAACAACACGAGGTTATTTCCACATTAAAACCCCCTCGTCCAGGCTTCCCTCCCACCCCGTACCTGATCCGGGAGCAGCCCCGTGTCCCCCACCAGGAGCCGCAGCGGCCGCGGCCCCGTCCGGAGCAGAGAATTCCCCACTTTTTCCACAATTTCCCCGAAATGCTCCTGCAGCAGGAGGGAGCAGAGCCGGAGCTCCGCCTGGGTCATCCCGGCGGCTCCGGAATCCCAGGAACGAGCGGGAGGAAGGGAAGAGCGAACAGCTGCATGGAGAGAGAGAGATGGGACAGCGGCTGACCCTGCTGCAGAGCTCCTGGAGCCCTGTCCCAGCGGTCCCCGTGTTCCCCCCGCTGGGTTTTTCCCCCGTCCCGGTGTCCCCTCCGCTCTCACCACCAGGCCCGGCCTAAGCCGCCGCCACCGCCGCCATGACAACGGCCCCGTGCTGCCTCCACTTCCGGTTACGTCACTTCCGCTGCCGCCACCCGGCATAGCTAGGCTCCCAATGGGAGGCTCCCACCAGGGGGAGCCACGCCGCGGCCCGCCCCGCTGGGGACGCTCTATCCCGCTCAACCGCGCTTTGCAGGCTGGGGGAGGAGCAGACGAGTTCGCCGGAAGCGCGGGGCAGCTCTGGGCCGCGCTCGCTGCTCTGGGAGGAGTGACGGCAGCGGCGGCTGTGAGGGAAGATGGCGGAGGCGGCGGCGGCGGCGGTGCAGCAGCACCGGTTCTTTTGCCACAGCTGCAAGGGCGAGGTCAGCCCCAAGCTGCCGGTGAGCCCCGGGAAGGGAGGGTCGGAGAGGGGGAGCCCCGAGCGGGGAGGGCCGGGGGGAGAGCCCCGAGCTGCCGGGGCGGGTGTAGGGGCAGGGGTGATCCCTCAATGGCTCCCTGAGCCCCTGAGGGAGGGGTGACCTCCAGGCCCCGAAGTTGTTCCCACACGGAACGGGAGATCCCCCCCAAATCTGGAAAGGGACCTGAGGAATGTCCTGTTCCTGATGGAAGCGCATCATTCCATAAACCTCGTTCCGCTCCCATCCCGCTCCGTGAGCGGCGTCCGCTCGGCCGGCAGAGAGGGGATTGTCCATTGCTGCTGAATTATCCCAGGAATTATCCCAGTTCCTGGGAATATCCCGGGGGAAATCCAGGGAATTATCCCGGGGAAAGTCCAGGGAATTATCCCAGGGAAAATCCAGGGAGTTATCCCAGTTCCTGGGAATATCCCAGGGAAAATCCAGGGAATTATCCCAAGGAAAATCCAGGGAATTATCCCAGTTCCTGGGAATATCTCAGGGAAAATCCAGGGAATTATCCCAGGGAAAGTCCAGGGAATTATCCCAGGAAATTATCCCAGGAAAAATCCAGGGAATTATCCCAGGGAAAATCCAGGGAATTATCCCAGGGAATGGGAATGGAATTATCCCAGGAAATTAAATTATGCCAAGGAAAATCCAGGGAATTATCCCAATTCCTGGGAATATCTCAGGGAAAATCCAGGGAATTATCCCAGGGAATTATCCCAGTTCCTGGGAATAATCCAGGGAAATAGCCCAAGGAAAATCAAGAGAATTATCCCAATTCCTGGGAATAATCCCTGGAAATATCTCAGGGAAAATCCAGGGAATTATCCCAGGGAAAATCCAGGGGATCTGCAGGATCCCACCCACCATCTGTTCCCCTTTCCCTTTTCCCTCCCTGCAGAGTTATTTATCCCAAATTCCATTTTTATCTCCCTCCAGCTACTGGGTGGCAAGCTGAGACTTTCCATATGGACTCCCAACAGCAAAAATAGTCCAAAAATAAAAATATTCCAAAGCTTCCAGGGCTGCATCAGCATCCCACCTGCTGCTGGTGATGGTAAAATTTGATCCAACCCCAAAAAAAATGATCCAAAAATTCAAAAGTCTGCTCCAGGGTTTGGATTTGGAAGGAGTTCCCACAAAATCCACGCTGAAAATTTGGAATATTCCAAGAAAAAAATCTTGGATGCTCCCAGTTCCTGGGATGTGGAGAGGGAAGATCCATGAGAATCTTTTTTTGGGGTTTTTTTTTGGTTTATTTCTTCAGTCTGGGATAAAACTTTGGGAATGGGAACAGGGAAAATTTTATTTTCTTGAAAGGAATTTTGTTCCTGGCCTCTGCAGTTCCATTTTCCTCTCTGCTGCCCAAAATTCCAGGGGATTTTCAGATTTTTTTTCAGATTTTTTTGCTGTTGTTTTGAGCTCCAGGAATCATCCAGAAGGAGGAGATTTTCCTTCAGGATTTCAAAGATTTTGGGTTTAATTTCCACTCTTTTTGTCTTCCCAGGAATACACCTGCCCTCGCTGTGAGTCTGGCTTCATCGAGGAAGTCACTGATGATTCCAGGTACCAGAAAACCCAGGGATATTCAATTTATAACCAGGAGATTCAATGTGAAAAATGCTATTTTTTTCCTTCAGGATTTCAAAGATTTTGGGTTTAATTTCCACTCTTTTTGTCTTCCCAGGAATACACCTGCCCTCGCTGTGAGTCTGGCTTCATCGAGGAAGTCACTGATGATTCCAGGTACCAGAAAACCCAGGGATATTCAATTTATAACCAGGAGATTCAATGTGAAAAATGCTATTTTTTTGCTCTTTTCTTCATGTGTTTTTCCCCTTTTTTCTTAAAAAAAAAAAACAACAACAAACAAAAAAAATTTTTTGGTCTTCTTGATATTTTTATCCTTTTTGGTCTTTTTTTTTTCCCTCTTTGATTTTTTCCTTGCCATTTTTAATATTTAGGAATAAAAAAGTTGTTTTTTTTCCTAAAGAAAATAAAATTATTAGTATTTTTAGTATTTAAAAAAAAAATCCCTTTTCATTATTTTTAGTCCTTACCCTTTTTTTTAAACTATTTTGGTCTTTTTTCCCCCCTTTTTGATATTTTTCTTATTGTTTTTAATATTTATGGGAAAATAACATCTCTTTAAATTATTTTTTTGTGTTTGCCCTTTTTTTAAACACTTTTAGTCTATTTTTTTCCCCTTTTTAATTTTTTTTATTACCCTTTTTAATATTTAGGGAAGGAAAAAAAAAGCCTTTTCCTATTTTTTTACCCTTTTCCCTCTATTTTTTTTACCCCTCCTGGGAATATTTCAGCAAACACAGGGAGGATTTTAATCACTCACTCTCCTCTTTTTTCCCAGTTTTTTTGACAGCAATTCCCTGGACGACAGCCCCTCCTCTCAGTTCTCAGAGGTGAGTTTTCCTGCTTTTTCCCTCTTTTCCCCAGCAGCTCCTTTTCCAGGATTTTCAGGATCTGGGGGGAGTTTTTTTCCCCCAAATTGGCATTTGGGCACGAGAGGAAAAGGAGGATTCGGGGAAGAGCCTTGCCCTGGTGCTGGCAGATCCTGGGATTTGTTTGGGGATGCTCAGCCAGGTGTGGAGTCTCTCCCTGCTCCCAGGTTTTCCAGAATCTTTCCATTTTAAAGTCTAAATTTGTAGGAAATCCTGAGCCAGGAATGGGGTCACCAAACAGTCAGAATTCCAGTCTGGATCCTTCTGTGCTCCAGGCATCCAGCTGGGTCCTTCCCCCTCTTCATCTGCATCCCTTTCTCCAAAATATTGCTTGGAGATCACTTTGTATCCCAGAAACTCCTGATTTCAGGGAGATCCAGTGGGAAAGGGCTGGGAATCCAGTGGGAAAGGGCTGATCCTATGGAAATGCAGTAGGAAAGGGCTGATCCTCTGGGAATGCAGTGGGAAAGGGCTGATCCTCTGGAATTCCAGTGGGAAAGGGCTGATCCTCTGGAATTCCAGTGGGAAAGGGCTGATCCTCTGGAATTCCAGTGGGAAATGGCTGATCCTAAGGAAATCCAGTGGGAAAGGGCTGAGTCTCTGGAATTCCAGGGGAAAAGGGCTGATCCTCTGGAATTCCAGTGGGAAATGGCTGATCCTAAGGAAATCCAGTGGGAAAGGGCTGAGTCTCTGGAATTCCAGGGGAAAAGGGCTGATCCTCTGGGAATCCAGTGAGAAAAGGGCTGAGTCTCTGGAATTCCAGGGGAAAAGGGCTGATCCTCTGGAATTCCAGTGGGAAAGGGCTGATCCTAATGTAATCCAGTGAGAAAAAGCTGATCCTCTGGGAATCCAGTGTGAAAAGGGCTGGAAATCCAGTGGGAAGAAGCTGATCCTCTGGGAATCCAGTGGGAAGAAGCTGATCCTCTGGGAATCCAGTGGGAAGAAGCTGATCCTCTGGAATTCCAGTTGTAAAAACCTGCTCCTCTGGAATTCCAGGGGAAAAGGGCTGATCCTCTGGAATTCCAGTGGGAATGGCCCCCCCCCCCGGGCAGAGCCCCTCCCCCCGGGATAACGGCATTTCATCAATCAACCCAAGACCCCCCCCCGCCAGCAGAGCCAAACCTCCCAATTAACGCCAGCTAATTACCCCAAACCTCAACTCTCGGCAGCTCTGGGACCACCTGGACCACGCCATGTTCTTCCCGGACTTGCGGCCCCTCCTGGAGCCCCCCCGCCAGCAGAGCCAAACCTCCCAATTAACGCCAGCTAATTACCCCAAACCTCAACTCTCGGCAGCTCTGGGACCACCTGGACCACGCCATGTTCTTCCCGGACTTGCGGCCCCTCCTGGAGGCCGAGGGCAGGGAGGCGGAGAGGGGGCCCGCGGCTGAGCTCTGGGGTCCCGGCCGCCCCCCGCGGCTGGCCCTGCCCCGCAGGTACCGCGCCCGCGGCAGCGCCCGGCCCGAGCGCTCGCCCGCCATCGAGGGGTGAGTGGCTCTGCTGGGAGAGAGGGGGGAATGGGGGAAGGGTAAAAACACGGAATTTGGTGAGGGGTGGAGGGTGTCGAGAGAGGGGCGGGATTAGAATGAGTTTAGGAATGAGAGGTGGGCTTGGAAATTAGAAATGAGCTTAGAAATTAGAAATGAGTTTAGAAATAAATTTAGAAATTAGAAGTAATTTTAGAAATTAGAAATGAGTTTAGAAATTAGAAATGAATTTAGAAATTAGAAGTAAGCTTAGAAATTAGAAATTAGTTTAGAAATTAGAAATGAGTTTAGAAATTGGAAATGAGTTTAGAAATCAGAAATGAGTTTAGAAATCAGAAGTAATTTTAGAAATTAGGAATAAGCTTAGACATTAGAAATGAGTTTAGCAATTAGAAGTAAGCTTAGAAATTAGAAGTAAATTTAGAAGTTAGAAATAAATTTAGAAATTAGAAATAAATTTAGAAATTAGAAATAGTTTGCTTCTGATCGTGATGGTGTGAATTATAACATCTGTGTTGTCTCACCCTACACGTGAGACTGAAAATGGAATAAAAGTTTATGTAGAATGGATTTGTATGGAAATTTTGAGGTCAGGAATAGGGATTTGGGAATGGGATGGGATGGGACAGACATTGTTAACAGAATTAGAGATTAATTTAGAAATTAGAAAATAAAAATAAATATAGAATGTATCTGTATGGAAATTTTGGGGTCAGAAATAGGGATTTGGGAATGTGATGGGATGGGACAGACATTGTTGGGAGAGAAATGGAATTAAAAATAAATGCAGGAATTAGAAATTGGCTTCTGATTGTGATGGGTGTGAATTATAACACTTCTGTTGCCTCACCCTTCACACGAGACTGAAAAGAGAATGAAAATTTTTGAAAAACTTTTATTTTTATTAAAAAACCCTCAGCTCCCCACCCCTGGATCAGGAAAAGGGCAGAGTCCAACCCCTGCTGTCCCTCTGTGCTTTGGAGCTTTACCCAGGGATTTTCACAGCCACGAGCCGTCCAGCCAGGCAGCAATTCCTGCTTTTCCTGCCCTTCTTTTTTCCCGGGGAAGAAAGCTGATCCTCTGGGAATCCAGTGAGAAAAGGGCTGAGTCTCTGGAATTCCAGTGGGAAAGGGCTGATCCTAATGTAATCCAGTGAGAAAAAGCTGATCCTCTGGGAATCCAGTGTGAAAAGGGCTGGGAATCCAGTGGGAAGAAGCTGATCCTCTGGAATTCCAGTTGTAAAAACCTGCTCCTCTGGAATTCCAGGGGAAAACAAAGCTGCCCCTTTGGGAAAAGCCTGCCCTGGTTATCCCAAACCCCCAGATTGTATCCAGGTAGGAACGCTTGGCTCCTCCCCCCGGGCAGAGCACCTCCCACCGGGATAACGGCATTTTTCCTGCCCTTCTTTTTTCCCTTTTTTTTTTTTTTCCCTCCTTAACTCCTTCTTCCCATCTTTTCCCTCCCCTCATTCCTCAGGATAATCCAGCAGATCTTCGCCGGCTTTTTCGCCAACTCGGCCGTTCCCGGCTCGCAGCACCCCTTCTCCTGGTGAGTACATCCCAGCTGTGCCTGCTGGGGGAATTACTGGGGAATTTGGGGAATTTGGGCAATTCCTGGCCTCTCCCCCTCGGCAGGAGCGGCATGCTGCACTCCAGCCCCGGCGATTACGCGTGGGGACAGAGCGGCCTGGACGCCATCGTCACGCAGGTGAGGGGCGCCTGCGCCGGGGGGCGGCTCGGGGGGCGCGTGCCCGCCCTGAGCGCGGCGTTTCTCCCCGTGCACAGCTCCTGGGGCAGCTGGAGAACACGGGGCCGCCGCCGGCGGACAAGGAGAGGATCTCGTCGCTGCCCACGGTGCCGGTGACGCAGGAGCAAGTCGGTGGGTGGCTCCGTGCCCCCCTCCCCCCAGAACAGGGGCACTCGGGGACAAGTTTGGCATCCTGAGATCCCTCTGTGACACCCTGAGATCCCTCTGTGACATCCTGAGATCCCCCTGTGACATCCTGAGCTCCCTCTGTGACACCCTGAGCTCCCTCCTGTCATCCTGAGATCCCTCTTGGGCATCCTGAGCTCCCTCTGACACCCTGACCCTCTGTGACACCCTGAGCTCCCTCCTGTCATCCTGAGATCCCTCTGACACCCTGAGCTCCCTCTGACACCCTGAGCTCCCTCCTGTCATCCTGAGCTCCCTCTGTGACACCCTGAGCTCCCCAAGATGATTTTCCCCTCCCCAAGATCGTTTTTTTTCCCCTCCCCAAGATTGTTTTCCCCTCCCCATGATGGTTTTTTTCCCCCTCCCCATGATGATTTCCCCTCCCCATAATGATTTTCCCCTCCTTATAATGATTTTCCCCTCTCCATTATGTTTTTTTCCCCTCCCCATGATGATTTCCCCCTCTCCATTATGTTTTTTTTCCCCTCCCCATGATGATTTCCCCTCCCCATGATGATTTTCCCCTCTCCATTATGTTTTTTTCCCCTCCCCATGATGATTTTTCCCTCCCCATGATGATTTTCCCATCCCAAATCCCTGTTTGTGCTCTCAATCCCTTCCTCCCTTTCAGACTAACTCTCCACACGCTCTGCTCTGGAATTGTCCTGGAAATCTGCCAGCAGGGGCCTGGGGGTGTCTCAGAGCAATCCTGGCTTTGCAATTAAAAATTCCCTGAATTTTTCACCCCCAGGATCCCTCCCCCTCCCAGAACCTACTCCTCCATTGTGGTTAAACCAGACAATTCTACCCAGGATATTTTTATCCCGTGGTTTTCCACACCCTTCTGTCCTCCTCTTTTCTGGGAAGCCAAGGACCAGCTGGAATTCCACGTGGCTGAGCCCACGGAGCAGGCCAGACATCAGGAACATTTTGGAATATCCAAGGATCCCTGGGATCACCAAAGGAGCTCAGGAGTTCCTTGATCCCTGGATGAGTTCATGTTCCCAGAGGATTTTGTGTGGATGGATCCTGGCAGGAATTCCTTGATCCCTGCATGCTCCATCTCCAGAGGATTTTATGTAGATGGATCCTGGCAGGAATTCCATGATCCCTGGATGAGTTCATGTTCCCAGAGGATGATGGATGGATGGATGGATGGATGGATGGATGGATGGATGGATGGATGGATGGATGGATGGATGGATGGATGGATGGATGGATGGATGGATGGATGGATGGATGGATGGATGGATGGATCCTGGCAGGAATTCCTGGATCCTGGCAGGAATTCCTTGATCCCTGCATGCTCCATCTCCAGAGGATTTTATGTAGATGGATCCTGGCAGGAATTCCATGATCCCTGGATGAGTTCATGTTCCCAGAGGATTTTGTGTGGATGGATCCTGGCAGGAATTCCTGGATCCTGGCAGGAATTCCTTGATCCCTGCATGCTCCATCTCCAGAGGATTTTATGTAGATGGATCCTGGCAGGAATTCCATGATCCCTGGATGAGTTCATGTTCCCAGAGGATTTTGTGTGGATGGATCCTGGCAGGAATTCCTGGATCCTGGCAGGAATTCCTTGATCCCTGCATGCTCCATCTCCAGAGGATTTTATGTAGATGGATCCTGGCAGGAATTCCATGATCCCTGGATGAGTTCATGTTCCCAGAGGATTTTGTGTGGATGGATCCTGGCAGGAATTCCTGGATCCTGGCAGGAATTCCTTGATCCCTGCATGCTCCATCTCCAGAGGATTTTATGTAGATGGATCCTGGCAGGAATTCCATGATCCCTGGATGAGTTCATGTTCCCAGAGGATTTTGTGTGGATGGATCCTGGCAGGAATTCCTGGATCCTGGCAGGAATTCCTTGATCCCTGCATGCTCCATCTCCAGAGGATTTTATGTAGATGGATCCTGGCAGGAATTCCATGATCCCTGGATGAGTTCATGTTCCCAGAGGATTTTGTGTGGATGGATCCTGGCAGGAATTCCTGGATCCTGGCAGGAATTCCTTGATCCCTGCATGCTCCATCTCCAGAGGATTTTATGTAGATGGATCCTGGCAGGAATTCCATGATCCCTGGATGAGTTCATGTTCCCAGAGGATTTTGTGTGGATGGATCCTGGCAGGAATTCCTGGATCCTGGCAGGAATTCCTTGATCCCTGCATGCTCCATCTCCAGAGGATTTTATGTAGATGGATCCTGGCAGGAATTCCATGATCCCTGGATGAGTTCATGTTCCCAGAGGATTTTGTGTGGATGGATCCTGGCAGGAATTCCTGGATCCTGGCAGGAATTCCTTGATCCCTGCATGCTCCATCTCCAGAGGATTTTATGTAGATGGATCCTGGCAGGAATTCCATGATCCCTGGATGAGTTCATGTTCCCAGAGGATTTTGTGTGGATGGATCCTGGCAGGAATTCCTGGATCCTGGCAGGAATTCCTTGATCCCTGGAGGAGTTCATGCTCCCAGAGGATGATGGATGGATCCTGGCAGGAATTCCTTGACCCTGGCAGCAATTCCTTGATCCCTCCACACCCCATAAACCCCAGAACTCCCGTTCCTGCCGGGATCCCTCTGTTCCCCACACCCCCTCTGTGCAGCCCCCCAAAACCCACTCCCGACTCCCAGCTCCATTTCTCCTGGCCCTGATTCCCCGTTTTCCACAGACACGGGGCTGGAATGCCCGGTGTGCAAGGAGGATTACACCGTGGCGGAGCAGGTCCGGCAGCTCCCCTGCAACCACGTCTTCCACAGCAGCTGCATCGTGCCCTGGCTGGAGCTGGTGAGATCCAAAAATAAAAAACCCATCTGTCTGCACGGTTTTATCTTTGCTTTTTTTGTTAGAGGTGGAATTTTGGGCTCAAATGTTGATTAGTTCTTATCTGTGTTGTATATATACAATATAATATATTGATGGGTTCTGCAGTATTCAATTAACAAGATACCCTAATTAACTTTTTCTTTAAGGTTTTTTAATTCTGAACTGTCCAATTAAGAATTGACACTTGAATTATTTTTATTTTTAACCTAATAACTAATCACGCCAAGCCCGCAATGCTTGGGGTGATTATGTTTTAATTAATTATTAATTATTTTCTAATTAATTATCCCTAATTAATTATTTCTAACTACTCAAACTCATGAAGAAGAAAGTGAAAAACCTCCTAAAACTCAACCAACTGTCCTAAAATTCCTGTTTTGCCTTATAAACATTACTGCTTTCTAAAACCTCAAACTCGAATTTTTCTACCTTGACCTCCAACGTTACCAAAAAATTTTGGGATTTTTCTCCACGCCTTCAGCTCGAATGTAACATTTTCCTTTGGGTCGGTGCCTTTCAGCACAGAAAATTTGAAATTTGGGGTAAAATCCCCCAGGATAAGAGTTTTGTTTTCCTCCCCACAGCACGACACGTGTCCCGTCTGCAGGAAGAGCCTAAAGGGGGAAGATTCCAGCAGGCAAATCCCAAATCCCGACTCTTCCGACAGCCCAGTGCAGGAGAGATGGACTTTCTGACCTTTCTGAAAAAGTTCTGGAACCTTCCAGAAGCTTCCAGAGGCATCCCAGCTCGAGGTGTACATTGAGAATTCCAACAAACCCCCCCCTGAGTAGCAGGAATTAGGGGGCCCACCCTGTGGGATTGCAGCAGCGAGCGCTCTTCTCCCAGGAATTTATCCTTCTGCTCCATGGAATTGCCTCGTTAGCCCTAAATTGGGAATTTTTGGGAGTGATTTGGATTTCATTTTTTGTATCAGGAAAGGTTTTTGGTTTGGTTTTTGGTTTTTTTTTTTGGTTTTTTTCCAGTAGGGGTTTGATCCAAAGAGGGGTTCTGAGTCTCCTCGTAGCCTTCTCTGGAAAAAAGGTTGGGATAAAAAGGGGATTTTTTGGGATCTTCCTGCACTCCAGGAGGTTGGAATTGTAGCCACGAGAGATTTTATTGCCCCATTTTGGGATGGAATCCTTGGGGGGTCTATAAAATCATGGCAGGTGGAAGAAGGAAGGTTCTGGAGCCCTTCCTCAGGGGGGGTTGGACCCTCAGGAGCCCCCGTGGTCCTGGAAAGTTTCTGGGAACGCTGTGGGATCAGGAATGCTCTGAGCAGGATTTTGTCTCGTCCTGGACTATTTTTGGGCTTGATTGGGGTTTTTTTCTGACCCTTTTCCACGTCGCCCGTGGCCCCAGGTGTGTCCAAACCCCCCCACGAGTCATTCCAGGCAGGAATTATGGACCACTCCCCTGGGAATCCCCCCGCCCTCCCCTTTAACTTAAGGAAACTCTTTATTTTTCCTCATTATTTGCTTGTTTCGACCTGGAAAGTTTCTGGGAACGCTGTGGGATCAGGAATGCTCTGAGCAGGATTTTGTCTCGTCCTGGACTATTTTTGGGCTTGATTGGGGTTTTTTTCTGACCCTTTTCCACGTCGCCCGTGGCCCCAGGTGTGTCCAAACCCCCCCACGAGTCATTCCAGGCAGGAATTATGGACCACTCCCCTGGGAATCCCCCCGCCCTCCCCTTTAACTTAAGGAAACTCTTTATTTTTCCTCATTATTTGGTTGTTTCGAGAGGTTTGTTTTGGTGTTTTTTTTTTTTTTTCCCATTTCATGTGACTTTTCCAGGTCTGAATCCTGGGAGTTTTCCTCATCCTCGTGGTATCCACTGGCTGCCCTAAAGTTGGGGGGGACACTGTGACCCCCACCCCACGCTCCCAAACCCCTTGGGCTCCGTGGTTCCGCGCCCACGTGGATTTCATTCCTGATTTTCTTTGCTCTTCCGTCCAATAAAGGCCTTTCTCAACGAATTCCCATTCCCAGGTCATCCTTGGAGCTGGGAAAGGGGGAGCAGGAGCTGGGGGAGGGGGGCACAAACCAGCTCAGAAAAAGCTTTTTTTGGGAAGGAAAGCCCTGATTTGCTCTGTTTGTCCCCAAGGGAGGAGAGCCAAACGCCTCCTGCTGTGTTGGGACACTTTGTCCCTGTCCTCCCCGGGACACCCCAATCCCAGGACAGCACTGTGGATCTACAAAAATTGGGAAAATCCAGCCGGGTTTATAAATTTATCCCGGTGCTTCCCTCTCTTATCCAGCTCCCCGATGATGGGGATTTCTGGAGAGGGTCAGAAATTCCCCTTTTTCCACTTCTTTCCCCACTCATCTCCTGCTCCCACTTCTTCCCTCTTCCACATCCCGCTGGAAGTCGGGAATTCCGAGATTCCTGATCCTCAAAATCCCGGATTTCACCTGGATTTGACCCAGATTTGACCCGGATTTGACCCGGATTTCACCTGGATTTGAGCCCAGATTTGACCCGGATTTCACCTGGATTTCACCTGGATTTGACCCGGATTTGACCCGGATTTGAGATCTGGCTCTCCCCCATCCCTCTGTGTCGCATCTGGGATCATTCCAGAGTTTTTTTCCCCCCCCTGGATGAAGGAATTTCCTCTCCCAGCCCATCAGCAGTTCCCCAGGCTGGAGCTTTATTGCTGGAGCTGCTCCATTCCAGGGCATTCCCACTTTTCCCACTTCCAGATGTTCCAGATGTTGTCCCCCCCCTGCTCCATCCTCGGGGGGGGGGGCTCCTCCTCGTCCCTCCACCCGTCCCAAACCCAGGGGGACGTTCCTGGGTGTCCTCGTGCCACCAGCAGAGCTGTCACCTCAGTGCTCTTCGTCCTCATCCTCCTCCTCTTCCTCCTCCTCCTCCTCCTCCTCCTCCTCCCGGGGGGGTTTTGGGTGGGAGAAGAATCCCAGCTGGGGGATGGGAAATGGGGAATGGACCCAGGGTGACACTGTGACCACCCCAAGGTGACACTGTGACCCTCCCAGGGTGACATTGTCACTCTCCCAAGGTGACATCATGGCCCTCCCAAGGTGTTATGATGGCCCTGTCAAGGTGACATTGTCACCCCCCCCCCAGGGTGACACTGTGACCCTCCCAAGGTGACACTGTCACCCTCCCCAGGGTGATATCATGCCCCACCCCCATAACTGCCCCAGGTGACATCGTGACCCTCTCCAGGTGACGCTGTCACCCTCCCCCAGGGTGACACCGTGCCCCCTCCCCTCGTTGTCACCCCTCGGTGCCACCGTGCCCCACCTCGGTGTCACCCCTCATTGTCACCCTTCGGTGTCACCCCAAGGTGTCACTGTGCCCCCCCTTGGTGTCACCGTGTCTTCCCCACCCTCATTGTCACCCTAAGGTGCCACTGTGCCCCCACGCAGTGTCACCCCGCATTGTCAGCCCTCGGTGTCACCCCAGGGTGCCACTGTGCCCCCACGCAGTGTCACCCCGCATTGTCAGCCCTCGGTGTCACCCCAAGGGGCCACTGTGCCCCCCCTTGGTGTCACCGTGCCTCCCCATCCTCAGTGTCACCCCTCAATGCCACCGTGCCCCCCCTGGGTGTCTTCCCCACCCTCATTGTCACCCTAAGGTGCCACTGTGCCCCCACGCAGTGTCACCCCTCATTGTCAGCCCTCGGTGTCACCCCAAGGTGCCACTGTGCCCCCCCTTGGTGTCACCTTGCCCCACCCCTCAAGTGTCACCCCTTAATGCCACCGTGCCCCTCCTCGTTGTCACCCCAAGGTGCCACCTTGCCC